TATTATCGCAAAATTTCTTCCGTTCGAAAACAAGCGACAACAAGACCGATATGAAGTGAGCAAGACAGCAAATGAAACAAATGCTTGATGTTTGTAGAAATAAGAAAAATAAACTTTATTTACAATATAAACAACAGTTATACAGAGTCAAAAATGAATAGTACTTGAACTGCACTAATAATAGGTGTTATGGTGTGGAACCATAGAAGGATAACACGGACTCGGATATAAGGTTAAATAGTATATACAAGGAAATATATTACAAAGGTAAATGTGGACTGGAGAATACTTTCTCTCACTGGTGTCCTGACTCACTCATTCACTAAATCTATGGCTACAACTTGGTGACCCTCACTTGGTGACTCCCTTTACTCAGAGTTGGTAGCCATATTATATAGGTGTGGAAGAGTCCATTTGTAGGTAGGTCCCCACAATACTCCCTCCCAAGCCTTTGACTCGGTAAAAGGGTTTATTACTTCCCAGAAATTTAATAATAGGTTTAAGTGGTATGAGCTTTTTCTCAGTCATTTAACATCAAACATGTAATAAAGTGATTTTTGTACTAACGGAACGAAACGTTTATATTATTTATTTTCATCTTAGCCGTTGTATTTATATATATATATATATATATAGTTTATGCAAACTTCGGTAATCCGTATGGGTAGACCCGAGGAGGATGATATCCAGAGAGCTCAATGTAAAATTCAGAGCAGATATGTTTGAATAAAAGACAGACCACGTTAAGATTCCATGTAATAAGCTATTTCACCATAACCCCTTTAACACGGTTCTGGATCATCAGACTTTACTTCCAAAAGCTGAAATGAAAAATGAAAAGAAATTTACACGTTTTTGACGGACCTGTTAAAGGAGTTATGGTGAAATAACTTATTACATGGAATCTGAACGTGGTCTGTTTTTTAATCAAACAAATATATATATATATATATATATATATATATATATATATATATATATATTAATAATAACCACTAAGCGTCTTAATGTGTTTTAAATTTAATTTAACCGTTTAAAATTTTTTTAAAACATGTAATAATGGGATTTTTGTACTAACGGAGCGAAACGTATATATTATTTATTTTCATCTTAGCTATTGTATATATATATATATATATAATTTCGATAAACGTGCAATCAATTTACAAATTCATGAATTATTCACACAAAAACAAATGCAAAGGTTAATGATTTAATTGGCGAGAAATCCATCATCGCAAACAATTCAAATAATATACAAAAACCTCCGAATCCGTTATGAATGAAAAGATCCTTGTTTCTATAAACTTCTGCCGTATTAGTTCTTATTTTTACTACAAGCTTTCGTCTGTTCCTACAGACATCTTCAGGTATGGAATAGATGTTGTTCTTGCTTTTTCTCTTAGTAATAAGAGGACAACGAAAATATATGTATTGTTGTATCCGAGGTTTTTGTATATTATTTGAATTGTTTGCGATGGTGGATTTCTCGCCAATTAAATCATTAACCTTTGCATTTGTTTTTGTGTGAATAATTCATGAATATATATATATATATATATATATATATATATATAAGTTTAATACAACCACTAAACTAAGCGTCTTAATGTGTTTTAAATTTAATTTAGCCGTTTAAAATCTCTGCTTACTCTGACGGATATTTAAAAAAAGTAAGATTTTGGCTTGCAAAACCGCATTCTTCGTGAAGAGACCTTTCGCTTTGTTGCGCGTTAGGAGTTGGAATGGAAACGATGATCACTGCTTATTATTTTAATTTCCACCATATATTGCAGGTGCCATCAGGTTTTAGCTTCTCTCTATTCTTTCATTAAGGAGCCATTGGATTCCGCTCAGGTGTCAGTAATGAGTTATTCTGTCGCAGCTGTTCACGTTTAAGGTTTTTGCAGTTCTTTGTGGAAAGGTCCTTTCACAGTTTTCGCCTTTTCCCTAACTTGTTTTGATTATCATTTATTTTCATATAAATGATGACAAACACCAAACCTTACTCAACCAACGTAAAGTAATTGTTGCCTTAAACGCAAGGCATAGGGATTTAGAAAAAAAATAATGAATTTACTGAAAAATCTAAATATTGCTATATTTAAATAATTTAATAAAATCAACAATTACTTGTAATGGAATGTCCCACACTCCCTATCGTCTATGTTGACTGACTATATTAGTAACTATATCTAGTGAGCACGAGATATACCTAGCAATTAGTTAGACAGAGTCTCGTCTGGGGTGCTAGAGAGCTACCCGCCCCCTTGTGTACGGGGTCTACGGTGAATTTTCCGCGAGCCTACGAACTCGGTATTGACCCCGCATTAAAAACGGCCTTGTGCCACATCCTGCCACGATAGAGGTAGGGTAGGTAAATATACTTGCTTCGGCATTAGTTGGAGATTCGTCTTACAGATGTCCTGGTCAAACTCTTTGCCTCCGTGCAGAGAGGATCCCCACACAAGGCTATGTCGAAGAGCAGAGTCTCGTTTCGGGAAACAGCTACCCGATCCCGTTTTATACGGGGGTCTACGGGGAATTTTTGCCCGAGCCTGCGGGCTCGGTTATCCCACATTAAATTCGGCCTTGTGCCTCATCTGAACGCCTGAGGCGGTTGGTAGATATCCTTGCTTCGGCAATTAGTTGGAGATTCGTCTCCAGCTGTGCTAGTCAAACTCTCTGCCTTAGGGCAGAGAGGAACCCAGACGAGGCTATGCCAAAAGGCAGAATCCCGTCTGCAGTGGCAGACAGCTACCCGACTCCATTTTTTTACGGGGTCTACAGGGAATTTTTGCCCGAGCCTATGGGCTCGGTTTTGCCCCGCTTTAAAAATCGGACTTGTGCCCCATTCTGCCTTGCGGGGAGGTAAGGTAAATAACCTTGCTTCGGAAATTAGTTGGGGATTCGTCAAACTCTGTACCATCGGGTAGAGAGGATCCCCAGACGAGGGCAGAGTCTCTTCTCGGGAAACAGCTATCCGATCCCGTTTTATATGGGGGATTTTTAGCCGAGCTTACGGGCTCGGATACCCCACGTTAAATCCGGCTTTGTTCCACATCTGACCACGTGGGGCGGTTGGTAGATATCGTTGCTTCGGGAATTGTTAGCCTGCCACCCGAGTTTTCATGTCCTTCCGTCGTGCATTCCCCTTTTCAATAAACATCTCTTTCTTTCATCTACGCCGGTGTTGCTGTTCCTTTCACTCGAGTACCACCTTTGTCGGTTTGTAACCTCTTTAAAGGATACAACATTATTTATTTAATTTCTTAAATATGTATTATTGTTGTTTCAAGGTATATATGTATTGTTTATTACTGTTTGCTTTTAAGTTTTCCACAGTTAAAAGGTTTTTCTCTAGCATTTATTTGTTTTTTGTACAACGATCATGGCGATCTATTTGATGATCTAAAGTTATATTTATCAACTTTACATTTTCGTCTCTCGTTTATTTTCATCAATTGATAGTTTGGGTTTTACTACTGTCAAAAAGGCAGGATAAATTATTTTATTCTATGTTAAATAATGATTTCATAATCTCCGTGTATTTTAGGCTGAAATCCATATGTATTTTTTCCATTTTTTGATTCTTCTATCTATTTCTAAAATGTACAAACATTTCGATATTTATGTTTGTTTATTTATATAGTATTTCGTAATTTTTCTTGCTTTTTAGTGGTTTTGTTTATCTAACAATTAATATATTTAAACACCGTTAATTTAGGTGGTGGGGTATAATGTTTATTTGCGTATATTATAAATATTCCAAAAGTTGTGTAGCGGACCGTCGATTTACGTGTTGTTAAATTAGGAAGACGTGTGTGACTCCTGATAGAATAAAGTTCACTACAAGAATATGGCGGACTCAGATACTGAATCCACCATAAAGAAATGTAAAAGAAAAACAAAAAAAGACCGATAATATATATACAAACAAGTATCACATTATGAAATGGACAAAGTCCGACAATTATATGTTTATACATTCTTTTCATAGATGTAAATACTCTGTTTTATAATAAACAATATTAATAACATTTACCGGCCTGAATGTCCGAGAAATTTCTATAGAAAATATTCGTCCTCCGACAGGAATCGAACCTGTAACCTATACGGAATTGTCATATAGCCTGACGTGCCTTAACCGATCGAGCCACGGAGGATCGTTTGGTTAGCTAGGTCGATTTTACTGTTTTTAAACTTCAATCTTCCATGAATCTCTCACGTACATTCATATCTGATCAAAGCGTAGCCAAATGTAAATAAATGACGTCACACATTTTGAAATGGACAAAGTCCGACAATTATTTTAAGACATTTTTATGTTTATACATTCTTTTTATAGATACAAATATTTAAGTAAATGCTCTGTTTATAATAAACAGTATTAATAACATTTTTCATACAGACCTTCTCGATATGTGACAGCGTCAATGAAAATGAATAAACTGAATCCAGTACATGTGCTTTCTATTACTGTATTACTTGTTCTGATGTTCTCATTAATTTATGGTAGTGGGTTACAAGACTTACGGACCACCCTGTACTTTATCAAACGTTTTTGTATAATCTATAAAACACAGATACATTACCTGCATTTGTATTACGATTCCTGATATCATTCTGAGAATAAATATCGCATTCCTTATTCTCATTGTCTTTAACGAACCTGTACTTCTCGTGTTCAATTTCCGGTTTAATTCTGTTGCAAACCCTATTCTTCAGAGGTCGTATGATACACAGGTGTTAAAAAGGTAGACATAGTTCCTGTTTGTAATGTACAGGGTGGTCTGAACGTCTTGTCACCCCGACATAATATAATTTTCTATTTCAAATGGCTGACACTAGTTCCTACACGAAAATGATGGTATTTATATAAACCGTCTCGATGTGTGACAGCGTCAATGAAAATGAATTAACTTAATCCAGTACATGTGCATTGTATTACTTGTTATTCTATTGTTTTCATTACTTTTTGGTAGGAAAAGACGAGAGACAAGACTTTCGGAGCACCATTTAGATAGATATGAATAAACTGATAGATAGATATGAATAAACTGATAGATAGATAGATAGATAGATAGATAGATAGATAGATAGATAGATAGATAGAGTTTGGTCCGAAAGTCTTGTCACCCCTAATGATATAATTTTCTATTTCAGATGGCTGACACGAGTTTCTACACGAAAATGATAGTATTCATACAGACCGTCTTGGTGTGTGACAGCGTCAATGAAAATGAATAAACTGAATCCAGTACATGTGCTTTCTATTACTGTATTACTTGTTCTAGTGTTCTCATTACATTTTGGTAGGGGGTGACCACAATTTATATTAAATAGTGACTTTATAATCTAATATTTTTAGTGTATCGTTAATATTTTAAAACACAGTTATTTTTTGCGGGGGTGGTATTCTAAAACAAAAACAAAAACAAAAAAATAAATAAATAAACGTAATGGCTACCCTGGAATACAGTGTGTGTGACATGCAAATAATGCCGATATATATTTCCATATTTGTTTCTGCCATCTGTATAAACAAACTTTTCGATATTTGTTTGTTTATTCAGGTATTATTTCGTAATTTGTCTTGCTTTCTAGTCGTTTTGTTTACCTATACTAAAAAACCCGTTAATTTTTTGACCTTCTAAAACACATAATATATATCAGGTCATCCCATAAGTTCTCTCCGAATTTTGAATACAGAAAACAAGTGACCAAATGTTACATTTAATTACAGATTCAATCAACAATGTATTTTCCCTGATTATCTATGACTTCCTTCCATCTATTAACAAGCTTACTAATTCCATTACTGTAAAATTCCTTTGGCTTTGATTCGAAGAACTCACAAATGTCAGTTTTAACCTCTACCTGTGTTACAAAAGCTGTTTCTTCCAAATGATTCTGTAAGCTACTAAACAAATGGTAGTCTGAAGGAGTAAGATCGGGAGAATAAGGTGGATGAGGAATTTTCTCCCAACCAAGTTCTTCGATCTTTTGTGATGTGATTCTTGCTGTGTGGGGTCGCGCATTGTCCTGATGAAACATCACCTCTTTTCGAGTCACTAGAGCAGGTCTTTTTTTCCTCAAAGCTTGGTTCAAACGCTCTAATTGCTGACAGTATATTTGAGCATTAATTGTTGCATTAGGTGGTAAGAATTCAAAATGGATTATTCCTTGGCGATCCCACTAGATTGAAAGAAGAACATTTTGCCCATGAAGTTCCCTTCTCGGCTGTGGCTGGGGTCCTTCTCCTTCACCAAGCCACTGTCTACGACGCTTAACATTTCGATAAAAGATCCATTTTGCGTCGCCAGTCACAAGTCTATCCAAAAAAGGTGAAACATGTTGGCGAGAATGGAGAGAAGAGCAGATGTCAACTCGGGATTTGAGGTTGTTTTCAGACAATTCATGAGGCACCCATTTTCCAAGTTTAGGAACTTTTCCAAGTTTGTTGAAGATGACGATGAACAGTTGTATGGTTTGAACTGAGAACCACTGCCAATTCCTCAACTGATAAAGCAGGATTTTCTTCAAGGGCTGCTTCAAGAAGCTTTTCATCAAACTCAACTGGACGTCCGGTTCGATCTTCATCTTCATGGGTGAAATCTCCACCTCTGAATTTTGCAAACCATCTTCTGCAAGTTCTTTCATTCACACATTCCTCTCCATAAACTGAGTGAATGTTTCTAGCGGCTTCGGCTGCTGAGTTTCCTTTCTTGAACCCATAAAGCATTATGTGCCTTAAATGATTCTTGGGTACTTCCATGTTAGCAGGGTTTTAATCAAACAAAATTTAATTTTATTGTTCTCTGAAATAAAATCTGATCAGTTTAAATGCATCTAACCATAAAAATAATGTTCAGCTCCATTAGACATTTAAAATACTCTTTAAATTTCGTTCATTTTAACAAAAAGTTAAAATTTGTACAGAACTTATGGGGTGACCTGATATATTGTGTGTCGTAGTTGAGCAGCTTGCCCGTCAGCAGGAAACCGAATGAAATGTCGTTGTGAGCTCCATCTCCTGTTAGGGTCACCCATGGCGGTAACGATTAAGGGAAGGGCCAGACTAAGCACAATCTGATGCCCGGTGAGAAGGCGGTCAAGGCAAGTTTCTAGGCACGAGAACAAGTCAGCAATCCGACGCAAGCTGTCATCATGAACCTGCCTGCCAAGCCCTGGTTGAGCGCAGCATTTGGTGTCAGCTGAAGGTGTGTGTGCCATGGAATGCCGACCCATGGGTCACCTCAAGCAATTTGCAGCCAAGGATTTCACGCTCATAGGTTTTCTTCATCTAACGTCTAAAGAACTAATTGGAGAATAGCAGTTCACGAAAAAAATTATCCTTCGAAAATACCAGAAGACAAACAGAAGAGAAATCGAAGATGGCCGAAATAAAAGCCAGAACTCTTCATCCACTAAACCCTCCTGCCGGAATTCAACATAGGACTCATTTCATGCAGACGAATATGTCGATGAGCACTGCAATACTTGTTAAGGAGTTGCGCTCACGACGAAGATAGTGAGGCTAGGTTCAGGGATATGGAGAACCTATTTGCATTTGTTAACAATATAAGTGTTAGAACCTAGGAAATGTTACTGAATGAGGAATAACCAAAACGGAGGTTGAAAATGAAATGGTAATCTTTATAACATCAACAAAATACAATACTCGCCAGCGTCATGAATAGGTAAACCACTGCTAGGGATGGACTACTTACACAGAACATTACCCATTATTCTAGGTACTTGATATTCAGAAAACAACTTGACGAATTATGAATAATTGACATATTACTTGTTAAATATCAAGAAGAAATGTCTGGAGTATCCAAACACCCCAAAGTACAAACGGAGGATCAAATAAAAATTCTTGCTTCAAAATAGGGATACAGTCATTTTGTCTGTCTGTTTATTTATCTATCTATCTATCTATCTATCTCAGTTTGTTTATATCTGTCTAGTTATCTCAGTGTGTTTATATCTATCTGAGCCTCTTAATATATATATATATATATATATATATATATATAAATATATTTATATTTAACTCAGACTCTTCATATCTATCTAAGCATCTGTTCATATTTATCTATGTGAGTCTCTCTCTCTCACTCTCACTCCCTCTCTCTCTCTCTCTCTCTCTCTCTCTCTATATATATATATATATATATATATATATATATATCAGGTTGTCCGCATCTATCTATCTATCTATCTATCTATCTATCTATCTATCTATCTATCTATCGTCCAAAGGTTTGTTTCTCAAACGAAGACTGTAGGGAATCCTCTCTGTTGAACCCCTTTTAAAACTATAAAAAAAAAAAATAGATTCAAGTAATATCACTAAAAAAATCTCAATTCTGTGCAAATTCTTGCTTCAAAATAGGGATACAGTCATTTTGTCTATCTATCTATCTATCTATCTATCTATCTATCTATCTATCTATCTATCTATCTATCTCAGTTTGTTCATATCTATCTATCTAGTTATCTCAGTGTGTTTAGATCTATCTGAGCCTCTTAATATATATATATATATATATATATATATATATATATATATTAAGAGGCTCAGATAGATCTAAATATATATATATATATGTCTAGTTATATTTAACTCAGACTCTTCATATCTATCTAAGCATCTGTTCATATTTATCTATGTGAGTCTCTCTCTCACTCTCTCACTCTCTCTCTCTCTCTCTATATATATATATATATATATATCAGTTTGTCCGCATCTATCTATCTATCTATCTATCTATCTATCTATCTATCTATCTATCGTCCAAAGGTTTGTTTCTTAAACGAAGACTGTAGGGAATCCTCTCTGTTGAACCCCTTTTAAAACTATAAAAAAAAACCAATAGATTCAAGCAATATCACTAAAAAATCTCAATTCTGTGCGAAAATAGTCACCTGCAAAAATCGACTCATTTCCAAATTCAAATTCTTCAAATTCAAATTTTCACATTAGCATTTATTAACCATTCCCAAGCGCTTTACAAAGCAGACGGCACTATTCTTTGTCGTTCGCTAAAATTGAAAGCCCACTCTAGAAAATGATGCACATTATTTTCCCTCCTAAAAATAGATATTTAAAAAGTTGGGGAATATATTTATTTACCCATAAAATTCTGAAATTAGTCCTATTTTTTCTTATAAATCTCGTCGCGTAAATTCACAAAATTTGTTTTCTCTTTATCGATAAAACATTGACCAGGAGTTTCATCAGAATACTGATATCTTTCGTATAATTCATTACTTAACCTTTCCTATATTTATTCAGTTTAAATACTTATGAAATTCTTCTCCTTTTTTTAGAGTATATTATACAGCATAAGAATACAGATATGTAAATAAAGCGATCGGAATATTAGTATAAATAAGGTCAACTAGTATCCTTTTCTGCTGCTAAGATCACGCAAGTCATTATACACAAACATTAAACTACGCAAATACGTGACTCTAACGTTATGTTGCTTTTCACGTATATTAGCACAATCCATTTCTGCTGTGTGGTAAAAAAGGAAAACAAAATATTTTTCATTGAGCTTTGGAGGAATGTGTAACTCGTTTCTTTCAAGTTGAAGAAAACAACGATTGCTTATATGCTCAATAATAAAACAGGATTTAAATTTGTAGTGTTGTGTTTGAAGATTATTTCTTTTCTTCGTTTTACGCACCCTTTTTCCTCTTCAAGTCTGTTGGTGGTTTGCAAAAGGCTTATGCAAAAAGAGACATTCTTTTCCGTAACCGCTCATAATTTCGACGGCGGCAAACTTATACGTTCTTACAATGTTGCTCCACGGCATGGAGCATTGATCAACCAGATTGAATTGCTTGATAACTCTTACTGATTATCACTAGGCTCCCTATACGAAGGTCGCTAATAAATAACAAATCAAAGGGTTTACTTTTAAAACCAACCAGCCAATCAACGCTCTTTGTGGGAACATATGATGAAAGGTATATCTTATACGACCTGTCAAAACGTGATAATATACCAGGAAAAGTCAAATATTATCAGCGAAACGGTCAAGGTAGAGGATACTAGTAGGAGTCAGGTACTTACTGAAACGGTTCAGAGAAACGGACTATATTTCTGGTATCTTTATCGTATGTATAAGCTCTACTTGTTGTCTGGGTTGAGTTTAAGTTCCAAGAGGCGCTCAAGGCATGGGACCTTGTTGAGGGAACATCCATTCATCGGGATTGGTGATAGTTCAGGGTCGGTAATGATGTATATTTTTGTGAGACGCTCATGCTTTTGACTTGTAGAAACTTGTAGGGGACCCTAAACTTGATATGCTTACTGTCAAAAGACGCGTACAAACGTGGAGTAATGGATAGCGGCTCCGATTGAGAAATCGGAGAACCGAGTTCGAATTCAAGTCGAATCCATACTAATATCGATGGGAAAAGTATGAATCCTTCTCGCCCCAGCTATGGGTAAATAGCAGGATACACCGGGTCTAGGAGAAAGACAGCTGAATTCAAAACCTGATCCTCCATGTTGCGCAGTATAGCTAGCAATCTACTCACTTAAAAAAAAGCAAAAAACTATTTTGTTATCTTATATTTTTGTTATCTTTTGTTCCTCAAAAAACGGATTGTATATAAGGGTGTTTCATTAAGACGGATCAAAGTCAGCAATAAATAAATCAATGTTATTGGTGAAAATTTATTTATTTCTTTATTGTTTCATGTTATGTCAGTCATGGCAATTATGTGTGAAAAATAATATCACCCAAATGTCCTCCAAGGCTTCTGTGGCATACCTCCATTCGATGGTCAAAATTTTTGATGACGTCTCTGCATAGTTGACCCTCGATCTCACCAATATGTATTATTATCTCATCCTTCAGCTGTTGAATTGTTGTTGGCTTGTTGGCATAGAAATTACTTTTAAGATAACCCCAAAGGAAGAAATCTAAAGGCGCCAAGTCGCATGATCGTGGTGGCCAATTGACTTCGCTGTTTTGAGAGATGATGCTACCTGGGAAGTGCGCGAAATGCATTTCTGTTTGAACGTCCATTTTCGTAATAGGCTTCAATAATTTTCACACGTTGTTTGTTTGTTAATCTTTCCATGGTTAAAATTGTCAAAAACTTAAGTTGTTAGATGTGAAAGAAAAGAAAAAAATCATTAGACGCTTAAACTTAATTCACATTTAAAATCGGTCCAAGTTATATATATATATATATATATATATATATATATATATATATATATATATAATGGTTGTTCCAATAACTTGGATATAATATATAAATAATGGTGTTTCATTAAGACGGATTATATATATGGGTGTTTCATTAAGACGGATCAAAGTCAGCAGTAAATAAATCAGGGTTATTGGTGAGAATTTATTTATTTCTCTATTGGATCATGTTACTTAAGTCATGGCAATTATGTGTGTGTGAAAAATAATATTGCCCAAATTTCTGCCAAATCTGAAAGAATAAGAAAAAAAATTATTAGTCGCTTAAACTAAATTCGTATTTAAAATCGGTCCAATTTATTGGAACACCATTTATAAAGTTCATTTGATACAAGGTCCGGAAGCCACTTAAAGTGGAAATGGAATTTTATGATGAATTAGGTTTCTGATATGAATGCAATAGAAGTTTGTTGGAAGTGAAGACTATGAGGATAGGGAAGATAGATAACGTTTAACCCTTTGACTTGGATAGGTTGAGAAAAAAGTCTTCGGGAAAAAACCACACGCAGAAGTCTTTTTTTACAAATCAGTATTTCTTGGAAGACCTGACTGGAATTGTCTCTCTACATTTGGAATACTGGGGGAATGCGGGTGAGTTGACTCCGTGGAAGTAGTATGGTGTGTGCTAGGTGGGGCTCATCCGGGTATTTGGCATGGAAATAACGTGAGACCTAATATAGGCTTACGGTATCTGTTGGAAAGTGGGTACATTGTGTAAAATCTCTCGTCTGATTGACAGCGTAAACGTTTTTGAATGATCTAACTGTTGTAAAGTCAGTCATTTATTTTCAAATATTATTCACCCTATAAAAGGTGAAAGAGCCACTCAAGGTAGAGAGTTACAAAAATACGGGACACGGTTTATCTGGATACGTGAGGAAAAGAACCGTTAACCCTATATTTGAACAGGTTAAGATTTTTAGTGATAGGGAAAACATCATCTTCGCCGTCGGTTTCACAAAGTAGCGCTACGTGGGAAGAAGGTACTCGAGTGGAAATTACATCTCACCAGCGGAATACGAAGGAAATAGCAAAAGGGGAAAATGAGAAATGAGCATCTCCTTCCTAAATATGACAGCATCTTCCGCCTCATATGACTCTTGTCAAGGTAGAGGATACCAGTAGGAGTCAGGTACTTACTGAAACGGTTCAGAAAAACGGACTATATTTCTGGTATCTTTATCGTATATACGAGCTCTACTTGTTGTCTGGGTTGAGTTTAAGTTCCAAGAGGCGCTCAAGGCATGGGACCTTGTTGAGGGAACATCCATTCATCGGGTTTGGTGATAGTTCAGGGTCCTATCGGTAATGATGTATTTTTTTTTGTTAGACACTCACTGGTTGTAACTTCCGTTAGGTCAACGAATGCGCGTTATCATTTCCGGAAATTCTCGTTGTAGACGAGACTCCGTAATGCAGATACTGGTAGTAATAACGCCTTCAAATGACACTCGCACTAATAATACTTATTCAAGTGGTGATCAACAGTAATTCGTATAATGATCAGTATAGAGAAATAGCATTGAGGATAGCGATCACTTAGACGCCACGCTAATTCCCATTTGTACCATTCCTTTACGATCACGTGATCTTCTAATTTAACTAATGACACTCCCGCCTTGCTTGGGTGAAATGCTTAAAAAAATGGTAGACGCTCATTCGTTGTAACTTCGTTAGTTCAACGAATGCTCGTTATCATTTCCAAAATGCTCGTTGAAGACGAAATTTTGTAACGCAGATACAGGTAGTAAAACTCCTTCAAATGATACGCGTCAGTTTCACAAAAAAAGCGCTACGTGGGAAGGTACTCGAGTGGAAATTACATCTCACCAGCGGAATACGAAGGAAATAGGGGCGATACGTGATAACGTACACATCATGGTAGGTCTTTACCGTGAAGGTTAAAACTGGTGGAACTAAGGAATGTTGTTAGTCTGAACACTTTCCATCGAAATAGCAATAGAGAAGCTATGTTAAAAGTGGTAATAATCTAGAAACTAATTCATTAAGCATAAGGACTTGGATATGCTTTTGAACTCTAACAAAAGTGGAAAATGAGAACTGAGCATCTCCTTCCTAAATATGACAGCATCTTCCGCCTCATATGACTCTTGTCAAGGTAGAGGATATCAGTAGAAGTCAGGTACTTACTGAAACGCTTCAGAGAAACCGATTATTTTTCTGGTATCTTTATCGTATGTGCGAGTTCCACTTGTTGTCTCGGTTGAACTTAAATGCCAAGAGGCGCTCAAGGCATTGGATCTTGTTGAGGGAACATCCATTCAAAGTGATTGGTGATAATTCAGGGTCGGTAGTGATGGATTTTTTTTTTTGTGATGTTAGACGCTCACTCGTTGTAACTTCCGTTAGGTCACCGAATGCGCGTTATCACTTCCGGATATTAATAGTTGTAGACAAACATTGTAAACGCAGATATTGGTAATAATAACGCCTTCAGTAATACTCTCACTAATAATAGTTGTTCAAATAGTAATCTTCGAAGAGTAAGTCGTATAATGATCAGTATAGAGCAATGATGGCCAACCTGTGGCGCATGCGCCATAAGTGGCGGATTGGATGTTTACAAGTGGCGCATTGCATCCTTTTGCTGAAAAGAAACTAAGCCAATTCTACTCATTCATTTCAGTGATTTTATATTTATTGCACATCCTTTGTGAAAGTGCTAAAAGGATATGCCCCTGGTCATAAGCATATATTTTTCAAATAAATAGGTTTTATTATAACTTTAAAATATGTCTATATTACAACACGTACTGAAAGGAAGTGAATATTTGTGTGGCGCATTTAAATTAATCGTACAAAATATTGGCGCATGGAATCAAAAAGTTGACCACCCCTGCTATAGAGAAATAGTATAGAGGATAATATAGAGAATAGCGATCACTTAGACGCCACGCTAATTCCTATTGGTACGTTTCCTTTACGATCTACTTATTTAATAATGGAATCGTCTGTGTTTGCTCACTGGTGACCTGTGTTCAAACTACGGCGTCGGCAACGACACTTTATTCATATACAACAGTTTTCGAGGCATTGAATGTAACCAGTCAGTTTTTTTTTTACCCCGCTGAGATGTTAGAGTTAAGCCAGAGAAGAGATCGGCTGCCAACCTCTAGTTTTTGAAAGTGAGGCTTGCCAGTTACAATCGATATATAACAGCGGTACTCCATTTTCAGTCTTCTTGTTAACATGGACTACTGTCTACATGTTTGCCGCTCGAATAAAAAGTGTACCTATGGCTAACCTTTTTTTTTCAAATTTAGTGTAAGGCATAATGGTGCTTACCATTTTTAGTCTATTTTAAACCGGACCTTAATTTATATTTTTTTTAATATTCTAGAGCCGGACCGGAGTGTCAATTTTTAATCTAATATGAAACAAATAAATGTCTACCGTTTCTTTTTATGTCTATTGTAAGAATCAGAACCGTTATTATGTTTTAGACTCTAATTTAAATTGGTACTATGTCTACATTTTTGGCTCAACTGTAAAACAGAACTGTATTTACAATACTGAATCTCGTGTAAACCGGGCCGATCTCTAACCATTTGAGTCTAGTTTAAACCGGAATTTTGTCTAGCTTTTGACTCTAGTGTAAATCGAGCCTGAGTTGACGTTTTAGTGTAAAACGGACCGAGATTTATCTCACTGAATATGGTGTGAACTGGATCTATTCCTGAAATGTTGACTCTACTAAATGTGCGCTATTTTTGTCATTCATTTCTTTTTTCAAAATAAAATAAACAAGACTATAGATAAACAAATGCGGTGGATATAGTGTTACTTCTCTTAGACATCGAGTCACTTGACTGGGTTGATGTCGCATGATAATAATAAAAAAAAAAAACAAAAAAAAAACAGAGCGTTTTTAAATATCTTTTTCATATCCCTTTTTACTGTTCCCTGAACAAATCTGCTGCTCACTGTGTAAGTAATTTTTGCCACAGCCGCTAAGAACTTAAACACACACACACACACACACACACATACACTCTCTCTCTCACTCTCTCTCACTCTCTCTCACTCTCTCTCACTCTCTCTCTCACACACACATGCGCGCACACAGTTCTTCTTCTTCTCCTTCTTTTCGTCTATGTCGCATGTCCTTTCAGGGCATGCAGAATAATGTCTTGTGATGAGATCCTGTCTTTCGTAGCTCTTAGAAGTGTTTGTCTTTAGGCGATTTCTTCTAAACCCAGTTTTGCCAGCCATTTACACAAGTTCGTTAGTGTTTATTCGCTGCTTTCCCTCCGTCCCTCTAGCCTTCTATATCCCCTGCGAGTGTCAGATTTTCCATTATGAGCCCTAGAAATTTTCAGCTATTATTTCTTGATGTTATTATTTCAAATGTAAAAATATGAAATATTGTCCCCAATCTAGGACCGCGTTTAAATTCAAAAAGTCTAGGTACCATAGAGAAAAAAATCTATGAATTTGTGGAGAGCCAAGTTCGTCCATGTCTTAGAGATACAAGGCATAAACGATTCTGTAAATCTTAGGACTGTTATGAGTTCGTTCCTCGAAGAAATCTCATCTCTTATTTCCTGCCGCCTGCCTTAATGAACGAAACGGTGGAAATCTCAACCGAAGGAGGGGAGTTGGTGGCAGTAATGGTTAACGAGCGAGTCTCGTTCATCGATAGAGTAGAAAAGCGGCTTGCAACGTTTCGTCTATGGGAGAGAGCTTGTAGGGTGACCATCAGTTCATCACCAAAAAGTCCGCGTATCAAGCCTTGAAAGTGAGGAGTGGGCTGTTCCACCACAAATATGGCAGCTGCAATTACTTAGTTAAAGAAACAAAAAAAAAGAGCGTTTGGCGATCGAAATAGATTAATTTTGTTTCTATGATGAATCATTTATAAAACCAGAAGGATTAATGGTATATCTTAAACAAGGAGTCTGTATTTATAAGTCTGACAGTTCTTGGAATGAGAATATCACTTGATAAAGAATATATTAAAAAGAAAATCCAGAGTCTAAGTCCTTCTGGGCTGTAAATGACACGTCGCCAAATTCTATTATTTGTGGAAATGAACAGGTGATGGCGACATTGTGAGTGTGCGGGCATTCGCGAGTGTGTGTGGGTTGGGTTTGGTTTGGTTTACAACATATCAACCTCAATGGGCTATTTAATGCCGAGAAAAATTTTTATTGCTGGTAATATTTTGTCTTATCAAAAAAGCTATCTATCTATCTATCTATCTATCTATCTATCTATCTATCTGTGCAAGAGGGTTAATATCAATAAACCTCAGCTATCTATCTACGCAAATCAGTTAATATCTATCTCACTAATCTATCCATCTCTGCAAGACAGTTAATATCTATCTATCTATCTATCTATCTATCTATCTATCTATCTATCTATCTATTTATCTATCTATCTATCTATCTGTGCAAGAGGGTTAATATCAATATACCTCAGCTATCTATCTACGCAAATCAGTTAATATCTATCTCACTTATCTATCCATCTCTGCAAGTCAGTTAATATCTATCTATCTATCTATCTATCTATCTATCTATCTATCTATCTATCTCAGTATATATTGGTTTGGTTTAGTTTGTTTTACGGCATATCAACCTCAATGGGTTATTTAATGCTGACAAATTTTTTTTATTGCTGGTAATATTTTGTTTTGTCAAAAAATCTATTTCTGTTAATATTTTTCCTTCAAAAATGTATTGCTGATAATATTTTTTTCAAAAATATATTGCTGGTAATTTTTCCCCCCCAAAATGTATAGCTAGTAATATTTTTCTTCAAAAATATATTGCTAGTAATATTTATTTTTTAAAAAAAACATTCTTGATAATTTTTTTTTCAAAAAGGTGTTGTTAGTAATAAATTTTTTTGTCTTCAAAAATTTATTGCTGGAAATAAAATTTTTTACAAAGTATTTCTGGTATTAAAACCTGTTTTTACACTTTCATAGTATTTTTTACCCCAGTTTTGGGGTTAACTATTTGCCAATAGCTAAGACCCTACGAGGTGCTACCACCCCGGATCAGGTGGGACCTGGGAACACCAGCAATTAAGAGGTGGTTCCACGCTCCTCAAAAGCTCTTGGTCTGAGTCCTTGCTGCTGGACGTAGTTTATCGTCGTACCGTGGACGGCAAGTGTGTGGGTTTGTGTGCGCACGCGCCTAAGATTTTCCATAGAATGCAAATATATAAGACGGAAGCTCAGTAAATTTGCCTGGAAGCCACACTTACAACTCAGGCAGAAAACAAAAATATAACACTGAGTCTAGGCAGAACTGTTTATCCATGTACAGGGGTTGGAAGAAATAATTGGAATACTTGTTAAATTCAAAGAAAAGTCATTTAATATGGAGTTGGTCCTCCTTTAGCCTCACAGACATCTTTAATACGTCTAGGAATGGAATCATACAGCTTCCTGACTTCATCCAGAGGAATTTTCAGTCATTCTCCCATTAAAACCTTCTCCAGCTCTTTACGACACGACGGTGGAGGATATCGGCTCCTAACTTGTTGCTCCAAAATGCACCACAAATGTTCAATAATATTGATATCTTGAGATTGGGGAGACCACTCCATGTGTTCTAGCTGACTTTCATGCTCTTCATACCAATTCTTAACCACTCGAGCGGTATGTATTGGAGCATTATCGTCTTGGAAGATGCAGTCACCATCAGGGAATAAAGTCTTGGCCATTTGATACACATGATCTCCTAAAATGTTCAGGTAATCTTTGCTGTTGATTCTACCATGCAGGGCAACTATTGGACTGAGACATTTCCATGATATGGCGGCCCAAACTATCAGTGATCCACCCCATGCTTCACTGTTGGAAGAAGGCAGTCAGGGTTGTGCTTTGGGCTGCCTCCACACAAAACTTGCCCTGAAGTTAGGAAAAGTGAAAAACTGAACTTGTTTGAGAATATGACTTGCTTCCATTGGTTTGCAGACCAGGCATTGTGATCTCTGCACCACTTCAACCTCTTTTGAATGTTGCGAGTGGAGAGAAGAGTTTTCCTCACAGCGGCTCATCCATGATATGCAGCCTTATGGAGCTCACGGTGAACAGTTTTAGTAAAAACTGAACTATTCAGATGGTTATTAAACTCAGCAGTTACTTTGGCCGCATTTGTCCGATGATTTTCTTGCCACATTGCGTTTCAATGCGCGTCAGACCCTGTCAGTAAGTTTGCAAGTCCGGCCCGAATTGCTACGGTTGCTAGAGGTCTTGACCTGTTTCTCGAATTGCATCAGTGTTCTTGATATGGTAGCTCTTGAAAAACCAAACAGTTCAGCAACCTTAGTGATCGAGGCTCTTGCCATGCGAGCTCCAACAATTTGCTCTTTTTCGAACTCGGGGAGGTCACGCACTTAGCTTGAATTTTACTAAATTCTAAAAATAAATAAAAGAAAGACAGTAAGATGGCTTCAGTCATATAAACTATTAAAAATGGCTTCAATCCTATAAACGATTAAAATGGCTTCAATCATATAAACGATTAAAAATGGCTTTAATCATATAAACGATTAAAATGGCTTTAATAATATAAACGATTAAAAATGGCTTCAATCCTATAAACGATTAAAAATGGCTTTTATCATATAAACGATTAAAATGGCTTCAATCATATAAACAATTAAAAAATGGCTTTAATCATATAAACGATTAAAAATGGCTTCAATACTAAAACGATTAAAAATGCATTCAATCATATAAACGATTAAGATGGCTACAATCCTATAAAAGATTAAAAATGGCTTCTATCAAAAAACGATTAAAATAGCTTTAATTATATAAAGCATTAAAAATGGTTTCAATCCTATAAAGGATTAAAATGGCCTCAATCATATAAACTGTTAAAAATGGTTTCAATCCTATAAACGATTAAAATGACTTCAATCATATAAATGATTAAAAACGGCTTCAATCCTATAAATGATTAAAAATAGCTTCGATCATATAAAGTTAAAAATAGCTTCAATCCTATAAACGATTAAAAATGGCCTATAAAGCCGATATTTCAGCAGACCCTAGAAATTAACTCTTCAAGAATCATAAACACAGAACTTTCATGATCACGATCACGAGTCATGCATCTCATTAACGGATATGCTTCAGACGTATTTTGTCTTGGGCAAGATAGCCTGATGGAGACCAAAACTCTCCAGGCTGGTTTGAATTAAGAATTTTCCTTCTCGTACACTGGTGCCACCAAAGGTTATAGAACCGAGACTGTCCTACTATTTACCCCTAGCTGGGAGGTGAGGGAAAAGTGAATGCTATGAACTCGACAGGAATTCGAACTCGGCCCTCTGATTCTTCAATCCGAGCCGCAATATTTTACTTCATTACCAAAAGCGAAATTTTAAAAAAAGGGTCGCACCTGTTACTAGATGTGAAACATACTGATAGAATCAAGCTGTTTGCTTTCCACACAGGTAAAATCAAACAGATTGGAAGGAAACTGCTATCACTATTGTTGTATATTGCTTCTGGGATCAAATGAAGGACGAACCCTATATATATATATATATATATATATATATATATATATATATATATATATATATAGTTATTGTTCGAGTTGCGATGAATGTGTTGAGTAAGTGAGAATCACAGAGGTTAGGATTGCGCACACAGGAATTGATGGAGACAAATCTTCGGTAACCCAATAGCCAGCCTCTCTTTTCAGGTCAAGGATCGGGCCGGTTACATCAGATTTGAACACACACGAAACTTCACGTGGCTCCACCTTCTTCCAGTATATCATTTACGCAATTTCGTATGGCCACAACACGCGCCTACGCAAACACGCCTTTCCTTCCGTTCCTTGCCATGTATCTTTAAGCGCTTTATTTAATGGACTTGTGCTATACGTAGTTAGTATTATTAAGCATGAAACTTGAATGCTTCAAGAAAATAGAGATAACTCTTCACTTCAGTATAGCGGCATCATGTGGAATTCAAATTATAATAAACGGTAGACGACGAAACCACATATTTGGGGGCTAAAGACAAGAAAAACTGAACAAGATGAAAGCAGCAATTGTAATTAAGAAAAACTTACAAATGAAATTTCCCCCGTTGGCGTAAGTGTGACCGCCATTTTGAATATCAAATCAGAATCAACTGGGGAATGAAGAACGAACGAGAGAGCGAATGAAGGACAAAAAGAAATGAAAGAAAAAGAAAGAAAACGCGAGTGAAGAAAAAAATGTAATGGAAGTAACGCAAGAATACATAAAGCCGCATGCAATTAAATTGTATTGAAAACTAGCAAATGTATTGTATTTTTTTCATTGTTACCTAATATAGCTTTACACCTGCTGAAGTCAGAGAATGCATGTGACTTGCAGGCATAGTTAGATAATAAAATGTATGATTGTAAGCCTGGAGATTTAAAAGGGCAGAGAAATATGCTGGATGTGTTGTTACAACGATCATTATCAAAGCAAAATGTAATATTTCAACTTCATATATATATATATATAGATAATATTCGACCAATATATATATATAGTCGACTCTTCTGTCGAGTTCAACGTATGAGTGTCAAGCAGATCTGTTCCCAGGAAACCGACAGCCCGACAACAGCACATGAGATTTGATTATAGTAGTGAAGGTTTCGTGCAGGATCATCCACACTTTTTGAAGGACCGAATTCAGAGACCTGGTGCACTATAACAAAGGTCACCAAACGACCCTCTTCAGGTTTTGAATTAAGAGTTATCCTTCTCCTAGAAAAGTTGCTATCCAAGGCTATAAAACCCAGTCTGCCCTGCTATTTACCCATAGCTGAAGGGAGAAGAATAGGATTCACACATTTCTCAAGGGTATTAGCACGTAAGTGAATGTAATGGATTCGACTGGAATACGAACTCGGCTCTGCGATTCCTCAAACCAAGCCACTATCCATTACTCCATCGTTGCCTTTTATATATATATATTATATATATATATATATATATATATATATATATATATATATATATATATATATATATATATATATATATATATATATATATATATATATATATATATATATATATATAAATAAACAGTATTAAATAACATTTACAGGCCAGTAAATGTTATTTAATACTGTTTATTATAAACAAACATTTACTTAAATACTTGTATCTATAAAAAAGAATGTTAAACATAAAAATATCTTTATTAAATTGTCGGACTTTGTCCATTTCTTAATATATATATATATATATATATATATATATATATATATATATAAAAAAAATTATACAGAAAAAAAAACAAAAATCTTAATATGCTATTATGCTGTATTAATGTTAATATAAAGTCAACGTCGGACGTTTCGGTCTATTTTAGACCATCTTCAGGACATTTTCATGTAAACATAATTAACATTAGAACATATAAAAATTCAACATGAAAAGACGATGTACATAAGAGCACAACTAATCCAAACAGATAACTGAAATTTTTATATAAGATCAGCGTTCCGTTTAAATATGATCACGTCGTCGTCACGTGGGCGATGTTGTGAAAACGTATTTCACGATGATAAGCCCATTATCAAACGCATA